GACGTTACAGTATGTACATATATTGTTCATTCTTACTCTCGAGAATCTTCTATAACTTTGGTGAATAAGCGGGAGTTTCGCAATACATAATTAACATTATAAGCTATGTATGTTTCTAAATATCAATTTAATCTAAACAAACGTTGATATAATAAAAAATTCGTTACAGATTCCATTAGTGGATGCATGCCCAATTAAAACTTCGAGAGATATTGGAAGAGCAACCAAAGGACTCAGATCTAGTATGGCATCTTCTTGCTGTGTGACAAAGTAAAGCCCAGCCAGTAGAAACAGGAAAATATAGCATGAATACACTTAACCTGAGACACTTGTATGGTTAATTACGAGTGAAGTAAGGCATGCTGTACCTTCGATTTAACTAGAACAAAATACGATCGCAGTTTCTACACACCAAACAACATAAAGACATAATAGAGAGCAAAAGCACTGTTCTCAATATTTGTTGTGAATGTGGATTCCAATACCTTGGAGAAGCAGAAACATAAAAAAGGCTAGAATTCAGGAGCATAAAAGACTCTTTAATACAGATATATCTACAACAGATCATGACCGAGAAGAAGTTCGTACGATAAAATGAGATAGTACTAAAGTAAATGGGATATGAAATACACACTAAAAAATAAAATACTCATCTACACTCAGCTAAGTGATATCACACTCAGTCAATCAAGCACTTAAAGTCTGAAAAACCAAGATACCCTTCTTGAAAGCATTCAAAGAAGTTTGTTTATTCAAATCTTAATGAGGAAGACATCAGACGAGTGGATAACACACTAGCCACTCAATCAAGAAAATTCAGGATCGAATCCTAGCAACAACAACCACAGAAATAGTCTGTAGGATACTCTAAAGACGATAGCAAATTATCAACCGAAACGCAGAATGAATCCTACGTAGTAATTCACCCAGCTGAGTACCTCAAATTTTTGTGAGAATTTCACCTCTGCTATAATTAACATTTTTTCTTGATCAAAGATGTATTAAATTTAACAAAAACGCACTATAAAGGACTTCTGTATCTCAAGAATTCGTCATCATTATCCATGAAAATAAAATGATAGTAACCATGGGCGTCAGCAGAAAGGGGCAAGGGGGGGTTACTTGACCCCCATGGATTTTCAAAAAGAAAACAAAATACTAGATTTGTAAATTTATTCTTCTATGTTATTGGAAAATCATGAGGTATTTCATAATGTTTTCAAACTTGAGTTACTTGCCCCCCCCCCCCAATTGTTTTCTGTGGGCGCCCTTAAAAGTAACACTCGAAAATACAAATTTTACATTACATAATTAACGTTTCATCAAAGAGTACCATGTTAAACGAAGATTCTGCAAACTGCGAGTATTATTAATTCAACTGATAGATAATAAATCTTTCAGAAACATCTAATTTTATAGTGATATATAATCAGTGACGCTTAATTAATCCCGAAACTTAATATTTGTGGTTGATATCTGCTTTCTAATTTTCAACTCAGTTTTGGACATTGGTTAATTTATTCTATATTTCCTATATAATTATATGTATGTTTTTGAAAATCAAATAAACTTTAAGCGATATATGTTAATTTCATATGTTAAACATACTTAATGATTATTTTAAAGGAGTTTTTCTTGACTTATATGTATTATTGTTTTTGCCCTTTTGTTTAGGTTGCTTTTTCATGACTTAAGTTTTCTTGTTTATGCCGCAAGTGGATATTTGTAACTATTAGAGGCTTTTAAATATGGCGTCTACGTGTAAGTACTTTGATGAAGATGCTGTATATCGGATCAATAAAAAAGGAATAATAGAATTTGGCTTGGTTTTAGAAAATTCAGAATTTGTTAGTAGTGATGAAGAAGAAGATTTGGAACACAATATTCCAGAATGGGAGAGAATGAAACGAGGCCACGTAAGAATCGCATGGCATCCGAAAGGCCGCGAAGAAGTGTTGCCGGAAAAAAGGGTGAATTCTACTAGTGATAAAATATTAATACTAATAATATTTAAATAGTGATATAAGTACAAATTACCCTAACATTATAGGTAATTTAAAATTACATAGTTTTGCTCTGAATGTATGTGAAACTTGAAAAGAAATATTGGCCACCTAAATTTAAAAAGAATCAAGTTTTTATTTTAAACAGAGAAGAGCATTGTGTGCTTATAAATATTTATTACGATTTAATTTACATATGTGTATCACTTTAAAGACGAAAAATATTTATTTCACAAATCCTGCTAACTTCACTAATATTCCATACTTGTTACAAGTAATGTAAGTGGCATTGTGTATTCCAATTGAATGTTTAATTTGTGAAACTTTAGTTAACTAAAGTTAAAATTAGTATTTTACATATGGTTTCCCAAACTTGTGTGGGTTTTCCTTTTTGCATGATGCTAAAGAAATTCTTGAGGTTGTGATAGATTGTTTTTCACTGTGAGAACAGAAGGGCCTATTAGGGAAAATGGTACAGTATTTTAGACCTTAACTGTTACATTTTTAGTATTTAAGTATTAGGAGGATATGGTTGGAAATGTAGCTGTCCTTTACTACTAGTACTACTAGCATTAAGTTCTAACATTATTAATATTTTATTATTTCATTGAAATCACTTTTAGAGAGTAATAAGAAAAACAAGAACTATTAAACATGGAAGCAATTTAGTTTGCCGAAAGAGAAAGCAACATGATAGTTGCCTGCTCTTCCCAACTGGGGTGCTGAGGAATGGTTGTTCCCCTTCAATTCCGTGTGTGAGAATAGTTTGCTACAGTAGCTATAATCATGATTATAAACATTGGCGGGGAGTTTTTAAGAGATTTTTTGAGAGTAGAAGCTGTGAAGAAGGTCGGCAGAGGCAAGATGTTCTTCTTTTCCAGAAGTGGTGATATTGACGAGGTGAGACAGAGAGATCCAGGCATTTGGAGTATCAAGTTTACATTAGATGGACTTAGGAATTAATTTTTATTTTAAATAGAGTTTATTGAAATGGACTTTATAAAAATGGTATGAATTAAAATGACATTGAATTTGAGGCCTTTTTCAGGGGGTGGGGACCATATTGTCCAAAGCCCATTTGTATTTTGATGTAGGGGAAACCAAAGTTCTGGAGAATACCCACTTTCACAAGACAGATGCAGAAATGAGAATTGACCCAAATTTAAAGCAAGCTTACTGTACTACAACTAGGCTAGGCATGGCCTAGTTCTCCGCATTCTAGACTATGAATCTAAAGGTCCATGTTTGGATTCCATTGCTGATTTTTAGGATGAGTTACAGATAGTTTTAGGAAGATTGCACAACTAGAAGGGGAAAATACAAATTATAAGCAAAAAATTAAGAAGTAAGCAATATAGGAATTGTACAGAAATAGGGTAAATGTTGCTTTGAGAGAAGGTGGAAATGAGTGTGTTGGGTTTACATGGGTGCATAGTAGTAAAAATGTTAATGCTATATAAACAAATTCAGCTAGCGCAGTTAGCTTTTGGGTTCTTGTTAATAATAATTTGAACATTTGGCTGCTTCTAATGAGGAATGTAATGATCAGCAGGTCTACATAGTGGAAGACCTAATAATTATACTGATAAATTATTTGTAGTGGGGAGCAATTGAAGTAATATTGAAAATAGAAAATGTCTTGTGTAGGCCTAGGTTTCAATTTATAAGTCTACAATGCTAGTTTATTTAAACTAGTTAATACATTCCTTTCAGAATTTTCTGTTTCAAACTTCCAAAAAAAATTCTTTTTTTTTATTATTATTAATAGATGAAAAATTATCTTACTAATAAATGAAAACGTTCTATCTTATAAGAAAATAAAATGTAATAGTACTAGTAAAGTGAAAATTTTTTTGTTAGTTATCAAAATAAACAAAATGAAGTCAAGAAAGCTTCATGTATTGTTGGGGCTAAGAAATATTATGAAAGTATTTGGATCCAAATATCAACTATAATTTGAAGGATTTTTTGTATTATGTTAGCTGCAAAAAGAGACTCAATCATAATATTAGTCTAATATTTTTAATGTAAATCTAATTATGGAAGGAGATATGGATCAAGTGCCAAATAATGTGTAGGATTTTTTTTATTGATAAGAGAGAAGAAGTAGAAAATCTTAAGTTTACCAATTTATGAAAAAGATGAGATTTTTCTCTATAACTTGTATTTAGATTGAAAAAAAAAATGGTTTAGAAAAATCTGGTAAATATATGGAGAATAAAACTTGGTACTTTCATTGGTTATGATGGTTTCTTGGACAGTAGCATTTCAAAAGACAAAGGTCTGTAAGATAAAAAGTTGTGTGTTTCTCCCAGCCTCAGTTTCCCACCTTCATCTTACTCTTATTTCTATCCTTTCTAAGGCCATCTAACATTCTCCTGAATGGTTTTTGGAAGATACCCATACCCTAATTTTCTCTACATTGGCATGATTGTCTTCCTGTACCCTAGCCCTTCATCTGTGGCTTTTTTGCTGCTGGGTTCTCCTGGATGGTGATGCTCTCTTGTCTGAGGTGCATCTGCCATCCACTTATATACATGAGTGGCAGATGGACCCTTTTTCTGAATGGATCTGTTTTTGGAGATATACCTGACTCTTTGGAGTCACGTGTGTAGATTGTGAGACAACAGTTAACCCTTTTCCTTTGTTTGCTTGTTTGTCTCAACCTGCTCCCATTCTAGCTTCCAACCCTTGCCTTTTCCCTCTTCCTAAGGTTCTTCAATGTGGTGTTTTGCTCACTTTCATACCCATTGCCACTAATGGTTCAGGTGATTATCCTGTGGCTATTGGCCCAGAGGCTCATTTGGCTGGTTTTGTCCATGTGGCTTTTTGTCATACCTAAGATTGGGCTTACCTTGACACCTTATGCCTTATACACACTCGGGATCTGTGCATCCATCACTACATGGATGACTAGAGAATGATGTTGCATGGAGCAAATGTAGTCCTTCTGGCACACAACCTCAGTGAGGCTTGCTCCTAGAGGCTGATGTTGCCCAGAGTGGAACCAGTCCAATTGGTTTTGGATTGGAGGTGAACTGCCACAGTGCCATGTCCCCTCTTACTGTTGTTCATATGTCAGGTTCCTGGCTGGCTAGCTGGTGTTGGTTGTGGAGTTGCACATGTGTTCTGTTTAGTCAACTGGTACAGAATTTTCTCCTTTCACTCCTTCTACTCTCATCCTACCACGATGCATGACTGATTCTGCCTGGATTTGGACTGCAGTTGACCTACTAAGTACAGTCTGTCACACAAGGGTCACTTTCATTTTAGCTTTCCCCACCATCTAGTGTGTGGCTGGAGACCCTACGTTCCTTTCTTCTCCTTGACTATGATTCTGGAAATTTCAGTTAGATGTGGGGGTTGGACCACCCCAAATGTTTTTGCTCATTTCTTGGATGTGTTCGTCAAAATTTCTGTCCATTTATGTGATACTTACTACCACACTGGATGAAGAGTATACCTGGTATAGAAGTGGTGCAGTCTTCCACGTGTGTTCCTCTCTCGGTAGAGTTTCACACTCCATGGATGTTTTTCGGAGTCTTTTGAAGGATGCTTGTTCATATCCATCACACTGGTCCCTCCATCTTTTCAATGTGGAATGCTAGCTATCATGTGAGAAGAGAGGTAAGGTACTGTATTGGAAGTTATTATTTTTCTATATAGAAAATATATTTCTGATAGATACTTACCTCCTTTCACACATCCCACCCTTCCTCCCTGCTCCCAATGGTTAATTAGGTGGAATTGATTAGAGGGAATAATGAATAATAAATACTGATAGATACTTACCTCCTTTCACACCCTTCCTCCCTGCTACCAATGGTTAATTACTATCTAATCTCAAAGCGTCAATTAGGTGGAATTGATTAGTGGGAAGAATGAATAATTGATCATAGGGTAAGTGAGAGTTTCATAGCTAGTAGCATGTGAAAACATTTTGCATGTAGAGGGCAACACTGAACAAGAAAAGCTATTATGTGGAAAGAGGTAAGTTTCTAATGCAGTACATTACCTCTTCTCACATGTTTAGCTATTCTCGTTCAGTGCTGCCCTCTATATGCAAAATGTTTTGTGTGTGCCACAAGCCTTGAACTCCCAAGTACCCCATGATCAAAGTGGTTCAACTGCATCTCACATGTAAATCATTATGGGACAACCCTCCACCAATAGGGGTGTGACACACTCTCCTGACTAGTGATTACCTATTTGATTCTACCGAACTATCACTTCTCATTAGGCAGTGATCGGGTGCAGACATTTTTTTCAATTGTGCTCTTTTCACATGTTCATTTCATTTTCTTCGTGATCTAGTGATTTACTTTATTTATTTCTTTGCTTCATTTAGTTTTTCTGTAGCAGTTTGCCACGATAGATTACCATTGTTTATTGAATTATTTTTCTCAATTTTGACTTCTTCATGGTATCAAATTAATTCCGTAGGTTGTGTTTTACAACTTCTGATAATATTACCACTAATTTGAATGCCATTACTAGCTTCAGGTCTTGGGGTTTTGACTGAGGATTTTTCGGCTATCATTTGTCGAGAGGTTGATAATTATATGAGGAAACTTTTATCTCACTAAAATGCTCAAGTTCCTCCTGCATTTTGACAGTTTTCTTTCTCCTCCTAACTATGCCGTACCTTCCCATGCATTTCCTATGAGATCTACTAGGCCTAACTCTGCCTTTTTGAATATGCTTTTTCAGGTGTATTCTGTTTACTTATGATACTGTTCCTTTCTTCTTTTTTTTTTTTTTACGTAACATGCATCATTAAGGTCCCTTGTTTTTCCTCCTTCCCCTGACATCAGGGTTCATGCTGAACATTTTATTTCTCATTTGAGGATGGGTGTTATCATGCCTCGTCCTCCATGGATTTCTGATCTTTATGCACTGGCTTATTAGCAAGCTGATCAATCCTTTCTCAACTTCCAACTGTTGGAGTCACTTTTGCCCATGTGAGG